GGTTCTTGTTTTGTGATTTCTCCCATTTCTAGAAGGGAATACAATTGTCCTCTGATGCACACTTTGAAATCTTGTGTAGGGTTATAATTTAGTTTTCTGTAGAAGGAGACATTCAGTTGCTTTGAGGCCCTCCAGTTTAAGTCGTTATGTTGTCCCACCAAAGAAAGATGTAGAGCTATTGTTTTCTAGATAGTGTGATATTGAGCCTTATTATTGAAGGTTTTTGTGGCAGATATAGAAACAGCACCCCTGTTACATATTACATATTGTGAACGTTTTCTAAAACTGCAACCATGTCCGTTGAGGCTTTACTCCTCCTTGAGTAGCGCCCCTGTGGACATCCTGTCCAGATAGCTGCAGTCATCAGGAAAGAGAGATAGCAGAGCCAGGGGTTATCAAGTAGTATTCCACCAAGGAGATGTCATCTGACACCACAAAGAGATGCTTCCCACTAAACTGCAGGGTGAAGTTATGCAGCATGGTCCTAATCACAGGGAGGGGGTGGGGGGAGCATGGCCATGTGCCTCGTCTTTGACCTGAAAGGATGTGAAGCTAGAGATCTTAGTTTCAGCTATAGACTGCAGCTGCGGCTGTAGAAAACAGTGATTTATATATATTGTTCACAGTGCTGACCTCATCCTGGAGGGGATCCACTTTCCTCAAAGGAGTGACATGATACTTTGCTGTTACTGATGATATACATTCAAAAAGCTGTATCATCTCCCCTCACTTGTGTGAATTTCTATCCAATACAAACTAAAGGAGGAGCTGAGAAACCTACAGGCCAAAACCCGGCAGACCCTCAAGAAACAGGAAAATAAATGGAAGGACATGGGGAAGACTCTTGAAGTGATCGAGGTGACCATAGAGCACTCAAAGTTTCCTGTGAAAACATTAAACTTTTAACATTTGACACTGATCACTTGCGCTTGTGTATGCAACAGGAGGAGTAGAGGTCATCTTGGTAGAGGTCATGGATTCTCTCCAGAGACATTTCCTATCACTGAGGGACATGATCAGCACTCAGGAGGAGGCGGCAGCAGCTCAGGTTCAGACCTCCTTAAGAACCTTGCAAGTGAAAATGGAGGAGCTACAGAAGAGGGACGCTGAGTTGGATCGTCTGGCACTGACTGATGATGTCCGTTTCTTGCAGGTACTATGATTACATCACAACAGTTGATACCATAACTGAGTCTGTATCATGTTGTCTTCCTATATCCTCTCTTCACAGAAATGGCCCTCTATGAAGCACCTCTGTAGTAAAGATCAGCTCCATCATTTGAATGAGACTTCAGAAGACCCATTCCTCCTGTTTGCCCTCACCAAGAGGACAGTTGAACAGCTGGGGAGGCAACTGAAGGAATTTTGTGACAACCAATTTGCTTTCATCTATCAGACTGGTACGTTCCTTTTACAGATTTCTTCTTTTTTTTTTTTTTTACATCATTCATAGTTTCATTTTCGTCCTTTGTTCACTATTCATATGAAATAGCTGACAGTGAAGAGCAGCAGAATTCTGGAGGAGAGTCAGAGGAGGCTGACATGCAGCGAATACCTGAACGAGATACCTCCAACTCCAATGGTTTGTACTCATGGAAGCAAACTGGTGCTAGTGTGTCATATGCAGATTCATGTATAAATACTCTGCTGAGCAGCCCAAATGAGTCACTGTCATCTGTACAACATTTTGATGCTCAGAGAGAGAAAAAAATTTGAAGTTGTTTGGCACAGCAGCCAATCTAAAATACAGTCATGGATACAGTTAAGGCTGTTTAAGTGTTTAATTTTTTAAACCACAGGCTGGCCCGTCATTATAATTTATTTATGAGTTTACAAAACTTCTAGTCATTTTTTGTCATCTGTTACACTTTAAAGGCTTTATATGTGATTTTTTGATCCAGCAGATGTCGCCCTTGAGCACCAGCATGAAACCAAAACAACTCGCGCTGCATTGTTGTGTTAGCATGCTAATGCTAGCGATCTTTATTATGCTCGTATCTTCACACTGCATGTAAATTTATCTGAAATGAGCGTGATCTAGAAACACAGTTAAGCAGTGAGTACAGTATGTTATTCTTCTTTTCTCTAGTCCCTCAATTAAACAACTTTTATACGTGAGGGAAGGAGTCAGCCGGCCGTCCCGGCGATGTAAACAAACTGAAGATAGGACTCTGAAAACATCACAGACAGTTGGACTCAGGTGTTACACCCATTGTAGACAGTCATGACTCACATAGTTATTTTCAGAGGATATACTTGATTTATATTATATTTAAGTGTGAAAAATCACATATAAAGACTTTAAGAAACAGCTTCAAATTCTCTTAAAACCTAGCTTGCTGTCCAACAAACAAAAAAACATATTTCAAGCCTAGGTTCCAAGACTTAAGGAAAACCATGACCAGATGTGTTTGCCACTTTAGATTTCCTGTGAGGAGTCTTTGAGCTGGTTATTAAAAGGACTGTAATCGATACTGATACTTTATGAGCCACTGAAGCAAACAAGACCATCAGAAAAATGATTTTATATTTACATTTTCCACTCAGTGAATGATACATCTGTCAGAAAAAAACACTACTTAAACATGTACAAATATATCAGCAAAGAGATAAAAGCTACCACTTTGTCCACACGGCTTGCAAATATTGATGAACCAAAAGTTGCTGCATATTTCTCAATAGATGTATAACTGTGACACTCTGACGTGTCTCATAGGTCTCCCTGAAGTTAACAGCACTCTGACTCATCAGGAAGCTGAGCCTAAAACCAGAGCGGAGTTCCTGCAGTGTAAGTTTTTCTTCTTTTGCACTAGACCAACACTCATCAGCACTTTGACTTAGTTAACACATCTGCTCGAGGTTGTACTTTTTGATTCACTACACTTCCCTGACAGCTCTATAAAAACCCGACAAATGGCTCAGGAGTAAACCAGTGGTTCACAAACAATGTGGGTTGATTGTCACTTCCTCATGAAATTTATTGTCATTCTCTGTGTCCTTAGACTTCTTCACCACACTTCCTCATTCAGCCTGTTGTCTGTTTTCACATCCTGTATCAGACCGACACTACATCTACCAGCTCAGAACCTTTTTCCACTCTGACTCTGGTCATGTTGATGTGTTTCTGTCTACCTCGTCTTTTTGCTCCTGTCTACCTACCGGTACCTGTCTGTACGCTAACTTGTATATTTTAAGTCATGAAACTGAAACAGTCTGCATGTTCTGTCTGCACTTCCTCAGCTGCCTGCACCTTCCCCTTCTGAGAATTATTCAGATTTAAAATGTCTGTGATGTATATTTTTGCCATTTTCTTCCAACTTCACATTTAAATGAGTGTTCAAGACATAAACAGGTCAAAACTACCAATGTATTGAATATGGGAAAAAAAGAGCTTTCGTTTGTGTATCAGAATAAAAGTTGTATTTTTGCATCTTCTGTTTTTCACCTCAACACCTACAATCAGATAACCTAACTGTAATAAATGACTTAAACTAGCTCCTTTACTAACCAGCTGCAGGTTGATCATTGTAAAGGAGTAAAAGATACAAATACTTCTTCCACCACCACATGTAGAACGAGCAAACTTTAGCTGTATTTGCAAAGTACTTAACATCTCTTTCTTCGTTATTACAGGGGCTTGTCGCCTGACCTTTGACCCCCACACAGCTCATGAAGACCTGGTCATTTCCACCGGAGACAAAGAAGTCAGGCTGAGTCCTCAGACCGTTAAGAGTCCGGCTGTTCGTCACCCTGAGCGGTTTGCCCACCGGCGGCAGCTGCTGTGCAGAGAGGGCCTGCAGGCTGAGCGGTGCTACTACAAGGTGGAGATAAGAGGAGACAAGGTGGAGATCGCTCTTGCATACAAAAGTTTAGACCGAAAATCATGCACTAGTCTGTCAGCTTTTGGGGCGAACGCCAAGTCGTGGAGTCTAGATCACTCCACAAACTACTTGGTGAGTCACAGAGCTGACAGTGTCCAGCTCACAACACCCCCCACTCAGAGGGAACTCTGTCCTTCTACGAGGTTTCAGACACTATGGCGTTTCTTTACACAGTACAAGCTCAGTTCAAAGAGCCGCTGTATCCAGGCTTCTGGAGAGGAATGCTGCATTAAGAGCTGTGATTTGGGATGGCACACTCTATAAACCGCCTCAGAGATTCTTTTTCTGACAGCTTGGGTCCATTTGAACGAATGCTAATATATTAGATTTCTTGATTTACTTTTTAAACAGGTTGTTTTGTACATATGGTTATACATGAAGAGTAAATGATTTGTGTATATTAAATGTGACATAAGAAACGTGGTGGATGATTAAGAAACATCACCATTCTTGTTGTAAAACAAATCTCTGACTTTTTCAACTCACCTAAACAGATACATTTAACTTACTTTGTTTTTTTTAACATGTTGTACATGTTTTTTTATTTTCTATTGAAATGGACATCATTTCATATCATTGACTACTTGCTTTTTTTATGTTATCATACATACATACATACATCTAAACCTCAGTAAAACTCCTAAAAACATAAGGTGCATGTGCAGGTGCTTTTCTTCGGGACTTCAAATTGTGTTTTAATGCAGTTCCCTTGACATCATATGTTAAAAGTATTTAATTTTATCATGAGGAAACAAGTGGTCATATCCTTATAACTTAGTGTTTAATAGAAATTGGAAATACCATCAAACCAGCAAATAGATGTTTTTTTTTTAAATCAGCAAGAACCCTTTTTTGATGAGGTTTATGAACTTTCCTCGGCTGATGTGAAGCTGCACGTTTTAGTTGTGCGACGGTAATGATGTCATTGTCAGCTGCCAGCGAGTGAGCAGGTAGTGGCCACAATTTTTTTTCAATGTTCCAAATGAGTGCACTATATAGTCCAGCCTATGTGGGCAGTAGGGAGTGAGTGTGTAAATTCATCACCGACCTTTGTCTGCGGTGAGGAGACATTTATTTTGAACTTTTCAGGGGAAAAGAAAAAAGTTGCAACAAAATCCACAAATCCAACAGCAGCTTATCCACTCTTTATTATTAATATTTTTGGTGATGTTCACAATTTTTACAACAATTTGTCACTCTCATACAATCATACTATGACTCAGGAACGTCAGCAAGAGTACCTACAGAAGAAAAAGACTAAATGTGACTCCTGTACAGACAGTGCTCGTAACATGTGCTCAGTAAGGCCCTGCATTCACAGGTAAGATGAAGGAATATGGATTACACACACACACACACACACCAATACACACACACAAGCACAAACACACTTTGGTCTATTTACATAAGCACACAGACTCCAGCACTTTGTAAGAGGAGTCCCCTTGGCTACGAGGGGAAGTTTCTAATCATTGCTAAGAACTGACAATAATGTGTCACCCTTCTTTTAGCCTAAATTATTTAGAAGTTTAATAACTTGATATTGCTTATACACAGACCTTGAAATGTACTGCTATAAGGACAGCAAAATGCTAACAATTTTGCCGTCCTAGTGAAAAAAGTGCATTTGTCACATTCATTATAACCTATTTTACACTTTCTGCTAAACTTCTTTTTTTTACATTGATATACTTCACATGGATAAACTCTATCATGACAACAGTTTGATTGGATTATTTACAGGTGTGGACAACAAAGAGATCTCTACACATCATGCACTCTCTGCAGGAAGTGCCTGGCTCTCACACAAACAGGAGACAAGATATCAAACAAGAATGAGACGTTTTTAGCCACACTAGCACTCCTGCAAGAATGTAATACTCTTTACATAGAACACGCATAAAAAAGTTTAATTGATAATAAAAAGAAGAGAATAATATGCTTTTCTTAGATCTACCACTGAAGTGGCAAAAAAAAAATCTGGTTTGTGTGAGGGTGGGAACGTGTCGCATCAATGAAAGGGCTTACTCATTGCTCAGTGAATTTTCTTCTACATAAAAAACACGAGTTACGTCTTGTAATGTTTTGTAAGTCGTGATGGCAAACAAATTAAATGGCTGCAAAAGTTGGGAGTGGGTAACTTCTGAGGGAAACAATGTGATAGCCAAAACAGAAACTCATTTTTTACATTAGCTTCTCTGTCGAATTCAATTGAATTCAAAACACTCCAAAAACATTATCTTAGTAGACCTTGATGAATTCTCTCTCACGGAGAATGCACTCAGTTTTCAGTTAAAGCTCTAAGTCATTATCGTCTCAGCTGCAGTTATGCTGATGTGGGCTTTAGCTGCATTTATGTCTTAGAATTTAGACCGTAATTACACACTGCTGAGTCGAGAGAACAATCATGTGGTTCTCTGAGTTATAGTTCAATGTCTAAATGTATATTGCACTTAGCAAAAAGAACAACAGTTGTATCAACAAAGTGTTTGCAAAAGAGCTCTGAGCTACGTTTTCAGTTCGGTCGGAATTAAACCCTGTGTTAACACCGATTGAAAAAAAATGAGGCTAACTCTGAGAAGAGTTATTCACTGTTAAAGGTCTGATTTCACCCGTTAACAAATCATTTCAACACTCAGCTAGCTAGGTGATGACTATAATGTTAGCATCTTAACATACATGCTAGAACTATTTGATGTCTTATAGAAACCTTTTTTAGCACAACCTTCAAATTGCAGGGACTACAGATGTAAAGTAGCGTATAGCTAACTATGGCACACCTAGTAGGCTGTCAAAATAAACAAATAAAAAAAAAAAAAAAAATGTTTAAACACTAATGATTTTGTCTTTGCATAACATATAATAACATGCTAATCTTTAGCATGTAGTTATGAGCATGTTGCTGTGTTTCTAAGAGTGAATAGGATAACCTTGCCTACATGTAGCATGTTAGTATGTTTTTAAAATGTCAACATTTGAGTTGTGAATTATTTTTGGACAAAAATAATATTTCATCAAACTTAACTAAACAAAAAGTCACAGGGTTCACACCACGGTTTAACCGTCCATGGTAACTAGTTGGATGCTAGTGTGCCTAAAAACAAGTAGACCAGTAAACCCAAAGAGGAGACCGATGAGCGGGTGTCTCCGAACATCAGCTCATACAAGACGACACTTCACAGGACTTAAATTCCACCTCCCAGCAGCATTTTCTCATCCCACAAGAATGAACTACTCAAACTACAAAATATAGCCTATAAATTCTTAAAATATACAATTTAAATAAGTATCACACAAGATGAAAATATACAATATGTATATATACTGGTCTCTTTAAAAGATAAATCTTTGTTGTTCATCACATCTACATACACTGCAAATATACAGAAATATAAATATAGTCCATATAATTCTTAACACCATGTCTTTTAATATTGTGAGTACAAAAATAAATAAAGGTATCACCTTACATGTAGCAGAAACTTGAATGTGCTCAGTTTAAACTTAAAGACAGTTTTCACAGCTGTTCACAAACAGTGAGTGAAAAAATGTTGAAGGTAGTTAACCATCTTTACCTGATCCAACTGCTAGTTCAACATCAGTTCAACAAGGTGTCAAAGATCTTCATCATAAAGGACCAGTGATGTGAGTGAATGTGTTTTAGAACACGTTGAGCCTTTACTTTGTCAAATCTTTGGGTCCGTTGCTGATTTCATGTTTATTGTAAAATACTTGTGCATTCTGGTTTGTGCTCCAATATAAGAACGTATTGCTTACTTTTTTTTGTGGGACATATTTAATGGCAGGAATAGTTTTAATTTCACATGTGCTTAGACGTTCACAAAATGATTGGTCATTAATCAGGGGAAGTTGCCCACTTGAGCACAGAATTTGTGCAAAAATTTTTTTGTGCTTTTGTTGCAAGGACATGTGTTTTAAATTCACACCAGCAAGCTGTGCTTTCTGTCTCTGACGAACCAAAACAAGCTTCTTTTAGTTAAATGAGCCAGTATATTTAGAGTTATAAATATGAAGGTTTCAAGTGTTTTGTTAAACTCATTGCTCTTTGGTGGAGAAACTGAAAAAGTGGTGTGTACGTCAGAATGTGTGTGTAATGGCCAAAAATGATATTCTTCATAATACTACACCTGACACTGCTTTTAACTGAACCAGAACAATACTGACTACACACAGAATGAGCATTAATGTATGTCTTTTCAGCAGCCTTAAGCATAGTTTATAACAATACACAGCCATGTGAAAAACAAATCTACAAGTGTTTCTAGCTCAGATCTGCATGACACTTCAAATACATGAACTTGTTTTGTGAGAGACTGCTGATTTGACACACAGTACAATATTGGAGGATGCCAAGCTTTAAACCTTTAAATATAATTTAACACGTTCATCTTGGCTCTTGGTGTCAGTGTACTGAGTGAAAACCAGTTCAACAAGTTGGGCCACACCCTTGATCCTCTGTACTGTGCAGACAGGGATGTGCATTATAGCTGGGGTTTTTTCTGCTGAGGACCTTTAAAGTAAGGCAAAGAAAGCAGAAAAACAAACTTCATCTGAAGCACATACACCCTGTGATAGTAAATACAGAATAGATACAGTGTGTCAATGCAAGCCTCGCTCTGATTTTAGTGTTGATCTACTGATACAAGTGAACTCTCCTGCCGAAGTGGTTCATGGTGTTATAGTGGGAAGCATGCCATGAGATGGGGGAATACATACAGTTTTTGTGGTAACAGTAGGGCAGTGGAGGGGATTCTCTGCACTGCAGTGACCCCTGGTGGAGACTTTCCAGCTGAAAGGTAGAATGTGCTACAGAGGGGTCTTAGGACAGCGGTTAAGAGTCAGACTCAGGTGTGGCAGGTGTGGGCGGGGTACTTGGTGTGGTGGGGCTGATGGCGGGGTTCTGGTAGCTCGTGCCGTAACAGCTGTTAGGAGACAAGGTGTTTGGGTCCAGTATGGGTTTGTTCCCTCCCGGGGTCAGGTAGGATTTATGTGCCGTCCCTGATGATGGTGCCTCCCCAGGCTTGGCTCCGAGGATAAATCTGGACTCGTCCTGTTCCTCCAAGTTTGAGATGTCCTTCATCATGCTTTTACGGTAGGAGACGGACAGCTTGTTGGAGCCGTCCGAGATCAAGTTGAAACGACGGGCGATGAAGACGATTGGCAGAGGAAGCATGGCCGCTATGATGAGGGCAAAGCACATGGCCAATGCCCAAGGAGGGTAACTCTCAAAGCGTTCTTGAGCCTGCAGGCACACAGAGAGGGTTAAATAAATAGCATTTATATATATATATATATATATATATATATATATATATATATAGATATTGTTTAGAGCTAATTAGCAAACAGTGGTGTGTTTACATGCTTAAATACGACTAAAAATATGGTGAGTATTAAACCTGCTGAAATAGACAGTCAGCCTTATAATTGTGAGCATGCTGTCTCTGCCTTTTTATCAAACTTCCAACAAATAGCACCCTCTCACTTTAGACATTCTTGGCATAAAAACTTGTAAACAGGAAAATAAAACACCAGTTGAGCAAGTTACTCAATAAAAAATAGACATGGTTTCATCACACATGTACTTATGCATCCTGAAACTGACCAGCTCTTCGATCCAGGCGTTATATCCTGGTGGGCTGATGGCCATCTCTATAACCGTAGCTGAGATGAGCACAATGAGGCACAGAGGGGAGACATACTTCCACAGGTAGAAATATATCCTATATGGTCGGAAACCCAACATGTCCTCCAGATCCTGCATGAACCTGACAAAGACACAAGATTCAAAGATTCAAAATGTTTATTGTCATGTGCACAGTAGGAAACATGTTTCCTTGTACAATTAAATTATTTCTTTGCTGCCCACAATGAATGCCAACAATAAAATATTAAAATTAAACATAGCCAAATAAAAATAATAATATATATAAATATACAAAATATACAAAAAGAAAATTTAAACTGAGTGTAATATGTTCAAACTGAGCATGAGGTAGTGTGTGAAATCGCAGTAATGACCATGTTCCTTTGCGTAGTTTAATTCTATTTGAAACACTTCTTTCCAGTGCATGTGTTCATTTTTATAATTCAGATTTGATCTCGGTGAATTGAAGACACAAAAACAAAAAAACCTAAAAAAAGTGTTACCTCTTTGTGCCGTAAATCCAAGCAACAGACACATTTTCTAGGATGACCACAACAGTGAGAGGCAGCCCGGCAGAGTAATCATCAAACATGGTGACATAGTAGTTCCCCGAGCGTTGAACAAACAACAGGCCACAGAGGAAGGCCACAACGCAGCAACACACTAAAACAAATCCAGAGAAGAAGAGAAGTTCAATGGAGAAGGTACAAATCTTTGAGATTTTGGTCCAATAGAAAGTAAAATGAAAAAAAGGGTTGTATTGGCAGAAAGTGGATTTGTTTCCTTTTAGGTGTTTAGTATTCAGTCCACTCAGGGCAATGATACAAAGCCTAATGCAGCCTTTAATACTTTGCTGAATAAAGGGATTTAAGTAGGAATGGCATGCCCTGGCTGAGGGAGAAGAAGTTGGGGGCAGGGTACCTGTGAAAAGCTCCCTGTGGACTTTGTAGGTGTCAAGCACAGGTGTTGTGATGCCAGTCATGGTGCCAATCATACTGCCCAGACCCAGATTGATGAGCATGAAGAAGAACATGACCGACCAGAAAGGAGACGCTGGGAAATGAGTCATGGCTTCAGTGAAGGCGATGAAGGCCAGACCTGTGCCCTGGACAGCCTGCAGAGGAGTGTAACAATGATTACATTCAGGAAATGGAATGGACCTTTCAGTCACAGAAACTGTGCCAGAGACTCACCTTGTTGAGCTCATCCTCCAGGAGACAAGGCTCCAAACCCAGCTGAGCAAAGCTGTCTTCTTTTACCGTCTTGATGACCCCGTATATCTCTGCGTAGTCTGATGTGGAGAGATGGGAGAAGTTCACATGTGGAGGTATGAGGTCATGACTCAGCACGTTAGAGTTGAGGTATCCCAGGATCTTCTCTGCATTTCTACAAACCCGAAAAAGACAAATTCTAAATCAACATTAAAGCTAGAATATGATGCAACACGATGACATATATCTCTGGTGTAGTGTAGAAAAGACATTAACAGGATGATATGGAAACATACAAACAGATATAGATATCCAGCAAAATACAAATATGAGCAATCATCATACACATGCAAGGTCACTTCACGTGCATCTCCAAATCAAAACAAACGAGCATGGATTAATTGAATCAATTTTTAATCTAGAATTAAAGTCCCATCTGAAATCACTACTTTTAATTAACAACAGAAAATATAACAAATGTCTGCATTATTATAAAACCTTTTCCCCTCTATTTAAATAATGATTTCACTATTTAAATGTGTCTTTATTGGTTTATTTTATATTCTGTATATTACTGTCTTTCATTTGTACTTTCCTTTATGTACTGTATGTTATTTAGTAATTTAATCTAGTCTTTTACTTGATTTACATTGTGATATTGTTTTTTTACCTGACTGTATGCCCATTACTCTTCTTGAAAAAAAAAGGAAACAGGTGAATGCAGGCGGTTCGGGTAGCGTAAATGACGCCACTTCCTTACTGAATGAATCAGACGAAGTAGGAACAAATATCTGCCTACTGAATAGTAGGTACTAAACAGTAGACAGCACAGATAGTAGGTACTGCCTACTGACAGACTGAGTAGGTACTTGGCAATTGGGATACAGCCATTAACTTTTTACATGTAAGAATTTTCTGTACTGCATGTAAGAACAAGACATTTTATTTCATTGAGTCAATGCATACAGAATAACTTTATTATGAAGAAATCCTGAGTGTTCTGTCTGTATTTGACTAAAATGTCTCAAAGTAAAGACACAAAGTTAGCTGTCATGTTCTCGGATGTGCGGACGTGGACTCATACTTCAGTACGGCACGGTACGGATTGCCAGTGTGACCGCGCCCTGAAAGGGAAATTCAAAGAAATATCTTCAACCCTTAGCAAGTGAAACCAGAACAAAAGTATCTTCTGACTACAGCTCAGAGAAACTTTACAACAAATGACATCATGGACATGCTAGAGAATCAACACATCGTGTTTAACTAATTATTATTATTTCCTATTAGTGATGTAAATTTAGTTAAATATACTTAATGACAGGAAATTAACTATATTGAGTGTTTAGAGTTTTTGGCTTACAGATGTTCTCGTCCTAAAACAGGATGAATAAGAACTTACTCGACAACACACTTTTCATTCATGATGTTGGCCTTGAAGCCGAGCACAGCAAACACCACCAGCGTGGCCAGAATGGAGGTGAGGAAGTTGATGACAGAGACGAGCACCGCATCAAAGTGACAGTTGTTATCGATCTTATTGTAACTGGAGAAGGCTATGACCCCACCGAACCCCAGACCCAGGGCGAAGAAAACCTGGGTGGCTGCCTCCCTCCACACCTGCGGCTCCAGCATCTTTTCCAACTGTGAGAGACACAACGACAAGGTCAATATATTATTCAGCATTTTCTAGCAAGGCCTATTCAAATGATTAGGATGAAGTTGGTCTCACCTTGGGAGTGAACATGTGAGCGATACCATCCACTGATCCTTTCAGCATCAAACCCCGGACCAGGAAACAAAACAACACCACGTAGGGGAAAAGAGAGCTGAAGTACATCACCTGTTGGAGAGAAAATCAAAAACACACATCTAAGTGAGACAGTTGTTTCTTCCATATTGTTCTCTCATTATGCTGTCCTTTTCCCCTTCACCTTCCCAGAGGAGGCAATCCCTCTGATGACAGCGAGGCACACGATGATCCAGGCTACCAGCAGAGACAGGGTCATTTTGATGTTGAGGCCTCCGCTCTCTGCTATGGTGCTGGTGGTGTTCAGAGTCTGACGGTACCAGAAATAGGTTGTGGCCGAGCTTTTTTCACACTCAGGCTCCACGACTGTAGGAAACGCAGACAAAAGAAGAGATGACAGAGCTTAAGTTTGGGGAATGCTGAAAGCACAGGAACAGTTGTGAGGGTGCAGCGGGACGCTTGGATTCACCAGAGGGGGAATACAGTGATTGAGAGTGTTTGCTCAGGGTCATAATCTCAATTCTGGGCTGGTTTACACCTCTCAGACTTAAAGAAAGCTAAACAAGGTCATGGCGTGTTTAGTATGCAGAGCATGAACCTCTCATTTACAACCCATGCTATATTCTCATACTACCTTGAAGAAATGATATATAACTCTGTGTGGCTGAGAAAAGAGCCAGAGATGTTATGAATTCTTCATGTAAATCGCAGATTTATGAATGCGCGCACACAGACACACACATAATTGTAGGGAGAACTCTCGATAGAAGTATTACGATGTAAATCTAATGAATTCAAGATGGCTTCCGCTAATTTGATGTTTTATTCTGTCTGGTTCCTTCCTGACTCATAGTTATTGTTTCTTTTCTTACAGTGAATCATTTTCTCTCTATGCTGCAGCTTTCCTTCAGTCTGTATTTCTGCTCCCTGTCTCTCTGCCAGCTGCCCGGCTGAGTCATACTAACATGCTACAAGTGTTTCTTGGCTGCCCTGGATCACGCGATTATCTCTTCTGATCAAACTACGGGGGGGGGGGGGGGGGGGTTAATCTGGATTATGCATGTGAAGTTGTAACTGAAAGAGAGTTTCACGGTTTGTCTGGTCTACTCTCTGCAGGTGTGTCTGAGGCTGCAGCGCTTCATACAGAGAACATTTAATCCTATATCTTATAGCATGGTGGCCCATTAAGGAATTAGTGTGGGAACAATATACATTCTAAAAATAAGACAGACAACAACAATGAAACAAATGGATATTGTCCCGAGCATAATCCTGAAAATGTACACACTCTTGATATTAGATGAAGGCATTAATCTGCTGTAATGGCATTTGACTGAAGCGAACACAAACTGTCTCAAAAACCACTTAATGGCCTGAAGCAAAAACACATTTATATACTTCAAGAATAAGCCCCACAGTTTCCTTTAGATGAACTCTGAATTTAGACACTCTTCTGTGTACGCATGAAAGTAACGTCTATATTATTTTGTATGCAGATTGAAACCAACTTTAGCCGCCTTAAAACGTAGCTAAAGTGATCAAAAGTGTTGATACTCTGTGCCCTTAAAGGCTTTCTATGTGATTCTTCACACTTAATTGTAATAGAAATCAAGGATATCCTCTGAAAATAATTCTGTGAGCCATGACTGTCTACAATGGGTGTAACACCCGAGTCCCACTGTCTGTGATGTTTTCAGAGTTTTCAGAGTCCTATCTTCACTTTGTTTACATCGCCCGGACGGCCGGCTGACTCCTCCCCTCACGTATAAAAGTTGATGAATTGAGGGACTAGAGAAAAGAAGAATAACATACTGTACTCACTGCTTAACTGTGTTTCTAGATCACGCTCATTTCAGGTAAATTTACATGCAGTGTGAAGATACAAGCATAATAAAGATCGCTAGCATTAGCATGCTAACACAACAATGCAGCGCAAGTTGTTTTGGTTTCATGCTGGTGCTCAAGGGCGACATCTGCTGGATCAAAAAATCTCATATCAAGCCCTTAAATAGTATTTAACTGCACACACATTTCCGTTATACTTTAGATTAGGGAAACATGTTATGCAGTCAAATATGATTTCTTGTCAATGATTCACCACCAAGCTAGTAGCAAGTATTGGTGAGATCCTGGAGATATTTCTGATACATGAATGACTTTGGTGGTCACTGGCACTCCCATTTTTGGTATTTAGTTAAGTACCTGCTGTAAAACTATTGACCATCAGCTTCATCTGCACTCTGTGTTGATAGTGAATTCTATTACCAGCACAATCTGATGCAGCTCACACCGGTACCTTAGTACAAAGCAGTTATGTATACATCTAAGTATTCAATTGATCTATGCAGAACAAAATAAATATGAGTTTTTCCTCTGAAACATGATGAATTTATAACATTCATTGTATTTACATAATGTCACTTACTGGCCAGTGTCCCGTTCTTTCTGATTGGACATTCGCTCCATGGAAGAGGATACTGAAAGGACTGGAAGAAATAAAAGATGCTCCAGCCGATGATAACGTTATAGTAGAGACCAACAAAGCCACACACCTAGAAAGAAAGACAAAGAGAAAGAAAGAAAGATAGAAAGAAAGACAGACAGACAGACAGAAAGAAAGACAGAAAGAAAGAAAGAAAGAAAGAAAGACAGAAAGACAGAAAGAAACAAAGATAGAAAGACAGAAAGAAAGAAAGAAAGACAGAAAGACAGAAAGAAAGAAAGACAGAAAGAAAGACAGAAAGAAAGAAAGAAAGAAAGACAGAAAGACAGAAAGAAACAAAGATAGAAAGACAGAAAGAAAGAAAGAAAGACAGAAAGACAGAAAGAAAGAAAGACAGAAAGACAGGCAGAAAGACAGAAAGAAAGAAAGAAAGAAAGAAAGAGAGAAAGGCAGAAAGAAAGAAAGACAGAAAGAAAGAGAGAAAGGCAGAAAGAAAGAAAGACAGAAAGAAAGACAGAAAGAACGACAGAAAGACAGAAAGACAGAAAGAAAGAAAGAAATAAAGACAGAAAGAAAGACAGAAAGAAAGAAAGAAAGAAAGACAGAAAGAAAGAGAAAAAGACAGAAAGAAAGAAAGACAGAAAGAAAGACAGACAGAAAGAAAGAAAGAAAGACAGAAAGAAAGAAAGACAGAAAGACAGAAAGAAAGAAATAAAGACAGAAAGAAAGACAGAAAGAAGAAGAAAGACAGAAAGACAGAAAGAAAGAAAGAAAGACAGAAAGAAAGACAGAAAGAAAGAAAGAAAGAAAGACAGAAAGAAAGAAAGAAAGACAGAAAGAAAGACAGAAAGAAAGAAAGAGAAAAAGACAGAAAGAAAGACAGAAAGAAGACAGACAGAAAGAAAGAAAGACAGAAAGAAAGAAAGAAAGAAAGAAAGAAAGACAGAAAGAAAGACAGACAGAAAGAAAGAAAGACAGACAGACAGACAGAAAGAAAGAAAGACAGAAAGACAGAAAGAAGGAAAGAAAGAAAGAAAGACAGAAGGAAAGAAAGAAAGAAAGACAGAAAGAAAGAAAGAAAGACAGAAAGACAGACAGGCAGGCAGACAGAAAGAAAGAAAGACAGACAGAAAGAAAGAAAGACAGAAAGAAAGACAGAAAGAAAGAAAGAAAGACAGAAAGAAAGACAGAAAGAAAGACAGAAAGACAGAAAGAAAGACAGAAAGAAAGACAGAAAGAAAGAAAGACAGACAGAAAGACAGTAAGACAGAAAGAAAGAAAGACAGAAAGAAAGACAGAAAGAAAGACAGAAAGACAGAAAGACAGACAGACAGACAGACAGACAGACAGAAAGAAACAAAGACAGAAAGAAAGACAGAAAGAAAGACAGAAAGAAAGAAAGACAGACGACAGACAGACAGACAGACAGAAAGAAAGACAGAAAGAAAGAAAGACAGAAAGACAGAAAGAAAGACAGAAAGAAATAAAGAAAGACGGAAAGAAAGAAAGACAGAAAGACAAAAAGAAAGAAAGACAGAAAGAAAACAAGACAGAAAGACAGACAGAAAGAAAGACAGAAAGAAAGAAAGACAGACAGAAAGAAAGACAGAAAGAAGGAAAGAGAGAAAGAAAGAAAGACAGAAAGACAGAAAGACAGAAAGAAAGAAAGAAAAGCAGACAGACAGACAGACAGAAAGAAAGAAAGAAAGACAGAAAGAAAGACAGAAAGAAAGACAGAAAGACAGACAGACAGAAAGAAAGACAGAAAGAAAGACAGAAAGAAAGAAAGACAGAAAGACAGAAAGAAAGACAGAAAGAAAGACAGAAAGAAAGACAGAAAGAAGGAAAGAGAGAAAGAAAGAAAGACAGACAGAAAGACAGAAAGAAAGAAAGAAAGAAAGACAGAGAGAGAGAAAGAAACACATAAAGAAAAAGAAAGAAAGAAAGAAAGAAGAAAGAAAGAAAGAAAGAAAGAAAGATCAAACATTACGTTCCAGTCTAAAGAGTCATATTGAATAAACTGTATTAACCTGTAAGACGTGTAAAGGGGGGGGGGGCGATATGTTAATAAAGCAGCATGCTTCTTGCATGTCTTATGTTGCTGTCAGTCTTCTCTGCAGTCATGGCAGCCAGGACATTCACAAGCTAAATAAGGTTGGGGAAAGCATGAATAATTAAAGTGCTCTCTTTTCAACACTGATCTTCTGAGAGATATTTATAGCTGCTTCTGCGCCGCCCGTGCTATTCTGAAGAAAGGCTACCTCTCACTCTCAAACACGTCAATACCTCCCAGAAACCCAGAGACGGGCTGAGGCTGTATGAAGGCTGTCCTGTACACCATTCTGATTAATATCATGGTTACATGTCATCAACATGCGTAAGACAAATCCAACATTTAAATTAGGACTCAAATGTAGAGCAACCTTTTGCTTCTATTTAACTGCAGGTCTGACAGCTGTCCCATTACAAACCCCATGATTGTTACCTGAGGACTTCCCACACCAGACGAGCTTCTCTATGAGGTGCCAAAGGAAACACTGTTTTAGAGATAGTATATCTGTGTTACACAAATTAAAAAAATGTGTTTTTTTTGTTCTTTACCATCAGACTGGACACCCCGACCCCGCCCAGATTTGGACAGACGTAGTTCCAGACCCCAATGCTCCCACGTCTGATCTTCTGACCCACAGCGAGCTCCAAGAAGAAGAGCGGGATGCCGATGATGAGAAGGAGGATAAAGTAGGGAACCAGATAGGCACCTTAAAAACACAGGGAAAATATTTTTAAAGCATTTCAAGTTAAAAAAAAAAATATATATATATATATATATATATATATATATATATATATATATCAGGAAAAATCAAGGGTCATATTTAAACCAAGAAGGCCACACGTCCTACCTCTGCACCCATGGCTAATTGGTGAGCAAGGCTGCAATTTTGTTTTACATCAATAATTGTAATGTTTATGTTGTTGTTGTATTTGACCAATAGTTATTAGTTAATAAAAGGAACTTCTAAAAGTATAATCATTTTTACTAACAGGTGCAAAGAAACTGCATGAGTATTCAGCATTCATTCATTCATACACATGAAAAAAGTCCAAATGGCAAATTTAAATCTTTGCTTGTTCGGTCGTGAATCACTTTAGAAGTTATGTTACTGGGTTGCTGGTAGCCTAGTGGTTAGTGCATGTGCCCTATGTACGGGTTTGAATCTGACTCCTCTCCTCCTCTCTCACCGATTTCCGACTGTATCTACTGTCTCTAAGTGAAGGCATAAAAAGTCAAAAATAAACCTTAAAAAAGAGGCTGTTTTTGGTATAAGCCACACCATTCCTGCATATTGCATAATAACAATCACACACACACACACACACACGCACACACACACATACATACATGCACACACGTTACCTATGGATTTACTAAAGCACTTTTATTCCAGCCCATTATGATTTTTTAAACAACAATTTTAAATCCATGACCGATTTTCAACCCGAGCGGGTCGTTGTAAAAAGTGATCTATATTTTTGTCTACCTCATTTACATGCACAAGACAAAATGTTTTTGAAATGTCAAATAAATCGTTCAACAGCTCAACAGGAACAAACATCACCAAAAACTTCAACAACAACCTAAGAGCTAAATCAGCCCATGCATTAACTGAACATTTAACAGGGAACGTCCTGTATGTGATGAGTACAAAAACAGTTTATGTTCATCATGGTTTTAGTACCAGTGGCAAGTAAACAGTTTAGAATCCCTTTAACTAAGCATGATGTGTTATTCAGTAAGCTATATTAAGCTTACTAAGCACCCATCTCCCTCGCCCATCTCAAACAAACAGGTTTCTGCTGCACAGATGAATTTTCTTTGAATTTCATTTTCATTTTGATGGAAGTCTAATTTTGTCCCTCTGTAGCTTAATCCAGAGAATCAGGATACTACTGAGTTTTATGAAGCAAGTCATGATCCAGGACTTATAAAAGGCAAACATGTACGACTATTAATACATCCAAAGTAGGAATTACACTGAGGGGTGCACACATTTGATAGAGGTCGAGTAATGGTGTGGAGGAAAGAAAGGAGGTGAGTTTAAATGTAGCGAGACGTTTTGGACCTGTGCCATGATACTCACATCCGCTTAACATAAATCCGTTCAATCACAGGTTGTTCAAACTATACAGAGTTACAGAGTGACGAGTTAGAAGTGATAGGACGTAGAAGACATTATGAAAGAGACGGATGGAAGGGAAATAACGGAGAGGAGAGAAGGGCCCACACAACACAGAGCTCTAATGTGTCTGTAATTGGCGGCCAGACAGACAATTACAGGGTGAAAAATGGGCACTCACCAGGTCACGTAACCTGGTGGCCTACTGTCAGTAAATCCTCCCATATTGGTTCTAAATCCTGCCTGTGTGCAGTAAATCAGCAAACAAGAAGTCATGACAGAGTTGTAAGCAGCAGCACCTCTATGGAGCCATCATGTACTCCTCTCACTACATGTACCCACACCAAAATAAATCCTCATTACTATTGAGTTACATTCAGTTTTGAAATTGAGCTCCTCACTGTTTACCAGAGTATCAGTCGAGCCCGGCCTGCCCTGTAGTAATCAATAGAGCAGCTATATTTAGACGGGGCTGCTCTCTGAGTGTGAGCACTTCTGAGCTGGAAGGACGTGAGTTTCATGTAGTTTGTGATGGTTGATATCACCAAATGTGAAATAAAGCCAAGTGGATGTTAATGACATACATGTTCAATCATTAATTTATCTCTCTGTCAAATTGTGGCAAAAATATTAGAGAGATTTTTTAATTTTGATAAGAGAAACAAATGATGGATGAGAATTATTGCTGAGTCATTCTTTCAAAGGTCACAAATGAATATAAAGGTAGAAAGTCTGATAAAATGGGAAGAAGAGAAGAAGAAAAAGAAAAAGAAAAAGAAGGAGAAGATGAAGAAGAAGAAGAAGAAGAAGATGAAGACAAATATTCTACATGCTGACACTAAAATGTTGATATGCTGATATTTTGTAAGTATGTGAATATAAGCTACAGGGGAAAATATTACCATGCAGGGTGAATACAAATATTATTAAGTTTTTGTTCAAATCAGAATATTAGCTAGTAGATCAAAGTTCTTAAACATCTTGTGATGGAACTGAATGTACAGCGGCTACAAAATTTAATGGCAAACAATACAATTATTCAAATATTTGTAGTTACGGAGCCATGGAAATAAAGCTTCTGGACTAAATAAATAACATGTCTATTTATATTAAACCCCTTGGGCTCTATGTTCCTCGTTCCCCATGTTCTCCTTTATGTGGGCAACAGGAGGGTGTAAAGTCCTTCCAGTGAAAGACCTAGTTTATTGTTGTTTCTTTAAATGTGATCACTCTCAGTATCTCACCTCCTCCGTTCTTCTGGCACAGGTAAGGGAATCGCCACACGTTCCCCAGGCCTACAGAGAAGCCCACCTGGGCCAGGATGTACTGCAGTTTGCTGTTCCATGCGGGACGTCCGTCATTCTCGGGCACCTCTATCTGAGGGACTTTTTTCCCAGCGGCCCCTCCGACGTTCAGGGAGCTGTTCTTGTAGTCCAGCGGCTCCTCGTGTGCGAGCAGGTCAGCCACCGATTCTGTGACGTGTTCATGGCTCTGCTCGCTCTGCGTCACCTTGCTGTTCTTAGGCATCAGGGTCGGGGAGGGGGGGCAGGGGTGGAGAGAGAGAATAGAGAGGGCGAGACAGAGACTGGGAGGAGCAGGATGAAGTGATACAGGCACGGAGGATAGATGGATGGAGGTAGATTTTAGGGAGATGTTGAAAGGGGATCTCAGGCCTGTGTCAGAAAAACATCAAGATTCAAATGTAATGACGTTTCATTATAGCACCATCATTTCATATTTCCATTTTTAAATAAAATCATGTTTTATGCACTTAAATGGTGTCATTTAATGTCCAGCTTTCTTTTTCTGGCTGTGATCCTTAAATAACATTTCATACACTCACTGACAGAATAATTCCTCCATTTAGTGCTTGGTTAAGCTTGCAATGAAAGACGCTGGGTTGTAAACACATGGTTATGTCTCTCCTGTGCCATGAAGATGTCAAACATAAAGACAGGAGGCGATTCATCACACCTGAGCGTTAACCTCATTCTCTCAAGAATAAAAAATAAAACACAGAAAATATCAAAACGCCACAGATTTTTGTCCCTCACGCAATGTTTTTAGTCCTAAAAAAGTCCCAATCCTGCAAATTGTTCTATTTAATTTTCCTGTTCTGCAAAGCTTAACTTTAGTGGAGCTTTTTTTCTCCTATAAATCCCATAATCCTCTGAAGCCTTGCAGCAGCAGCAGCAGCAGCATCCGTCCATCCTCACCCCTCTTCCAGGGAGTGGTTGGTTCAACCCAAACGTAATGGAAGGAAGTAAACATGATGCTTTGGATCATCTGTTCTCCCGATCAACATCACAAGCCTCTGTGTAGTCTCATAACTTATTAAGCGACATGTTTCTCCATTATACAAATCTGCCACCCATGAAAAATGACATGAGCTTTGTATTTTGTTTTTAACCTATGGGGGGAAAGATAAGAAAACAAAAAGTATTTTAATAGAAACTATGAAGAAGTGGCTGCACCTTTAGAGTGACGCAACACACGTGCCTTCATCGTCACAAGCCTCCCAGTTTACATCAGCCTGAAACAAACTCTACCTCCAACAGCACTTTCTATAAAAAGAGTACAAACTTCACTCTCGGAGCTACAAACTTACAGAACCTGCTTCTTTTGGCTCCAAATATGCATCCACTTTACATCTTTGTGTATTATTTTCCTCCCCAAACCTGCACCGGATTTCCTCCTCAGTGCATGTCAAGATGAGCCTATGATGCAATAATCCAGCCGCCATTCACAAGTCTTCATAATCCTGTGTGCATTAACTGTAAAACCCCGGCCCTGCTTTTCTGTCTTGTCATTCAATCCCATCCCGCAGTGGCCACGTAATATCAATCAGAGGCAGCAGCATCCAGCCAGCACAGGGGACCAAAAAAACATCAACTCACCCAACCAATAATCCCCATAAAAACGCAAAGTTCAGACGACCCCGGCCCATTTTTCTGCTACAGTTAAGGCATGTTTTCATGGCCTGAAAGAGCCTTTTGGAGGGCCTCGTGTTGCCTTTGACCTGTGTCGATCACAGTGAAGATCTATTAAGTTAAAAAATGAAAAATTGCTTTTACCCTTTACTGATCCCTGCTGCACCTCCATTATTATTTGTATTGATAACTAGGGGAAACATGCTCACATGAAGGGTATTTTTTCACCTCCACATCATAAAAATGATTTCTAAATGACTTAATCTTGTTCTAAATAAGACAGTGTTGAGCAACTAGACAAATACGATGAAGCTCCTTTTTGGATAAATCATATTTCTGCTCTAATGTACAGACAGTTTGATTGACATTTATTTGCAACTTTATCTTATGTGACTCTGTGTGCACAGACGGAAAAAAAAATTGTGTTACCAGATTTGATTAGGGTGAGTTAACATCTTTTTATGGTTGGTTTTTATTCAACCAACAATCCAAAACCTAGATATCTTATCACATATGGTCCAGAAAAATATTGAATCCTCCAAAATAAATGGCTGGAATAAGAAACTCTGGTTAAAAGTTCCTGAAAATGACAAATTGAACGTCAAAAAGATATTTATTCATTCACCTTCAGTCAGCGATTCAAGAGATTATTGGTTTGAGCTCTTACCAGGATATATTTTAAACACAGTGTGTTAGCAGCTACATATTTAAGCTACTAAAGATCTGTCTCTTAATTAAAGAACATCCGTTTTTGCCTCTGATGACCGACTTGTGAGTATGTTTCTGCATAGAAATCCCTGTTATGAAATCAAACAGACAACTGTCCAACAGCAACAGGGCCACAAGTTCATCTTTAATTGTGACAACATGCTCTTACATGTCTCTGTTTCCGCTGTTGGACGTCAAAAAATCATCCGTGCCCAAGCATCATCAGGGATAATAAGCATATTGATATTTTCTATGAGATTTCCAGCCTCTCTTGGTTAAAGGATTTCAAACAGCAGACTTTGCAGGTATCAGCAATCAGTCCTGTTTAAAGGTCCACACTTAAATCGATTACTGATCCTGAGATTACAGCCTCAAAAACAAGTCTGAGCCTAAAATGTATTAATCAGCTGTTTCACAATGCAAATTACTTATTTTTTTCCAATCCCAAACCACTGATTTGTAATTCCAAACCTACTGGAAACAGCCAAAACACATCCCAGAACTTTTTAAAACTACACAGAGCCAAAGCATCATATCAACCTCCTCAAATGAATAACTCATTTTAAATGTATAACCAAGCTGAACTAAACAATTGCAGTTGAGTTAAAGCTCCTGCATGTTCTGACTTATCAGCATCACAACACAGATCAGTCAATGTGAACACCAGAACACACATCTGGTGCTGATGCTTATAGCCCTGCCTGCATCTGCTCTCTCATCTCTGCTTCTGCTGCTCAAATGGAGGGATGCAACGACTTTTAAACACAATCAAGGTCACGCATGATTATCTTCTGACCTTTGGGTAAATTAGAGCACAATTCTGTGGAGATGCAAATTGTAAACGATGAAAGACAAGTTCGACTGAAGCGTAATCGACATGTAACAAAGCATTTGAAATGTGTTTTCAAGCTGTAGTTCAACTTTTTGCAGAAATAAACTGTCTTTATCTTTTCAAATCCAGAGGATATGACTTACCGCGTTGGTTTACCTCACAGAAAAAAAAGACAGTTGAGCAAATGTGGAAAAAAAAAAAGATATATGTCGCTCCTCCTTTAGCTGCGATCAACAATATGAAGATGTATTGTAGAGACAATGTGGAGAGGCATGAGTACATCCGTAGGGCAGCACTTGCGAGTCGTTGTGGTACGGACTAAGCGCTGTCAGGACACTGGAGGACAGAGGGATCACATGCTCCTCTGCCCGACATGCAGGGAGGAGAGTCCGGGACGCACCGTGACGCACAGCGCGCTGCTCATTAACAACAAACACAAACGATTAGCTGCCACTCACTCTCTCCTGTTGTACGAGACTTCTCAACATCTCATTGGGGGGGGGGGGGGGATTTGTCAAGGTTATCCACTCCTACCTGAGGAAGTGGGTGTCTGACGCAGCTTTCGTCACTCCAATTGATAAAAAATGTAAGCCATTCAGCTGCACCGATAGGACAGCACCACGGGATGCTTGGGGAAAAAAATATTTTCAGGCTAAAGGTGATAAAAATAGAGTGGAGGTTTGGTTAACATTTTCAAGAGCAAGCCCCGTTTTAAACGCTCAACAATGACTAAGTAGAATAAAACTCATAATAAATACATGAAGAATAAATGAATAATACAGTAAAAGGCGGAATGGAGGAAATGTGGGAGTTGGAGAAGAGCAAATTTGTTACTATGACCTTTGCTCTGATGCAATATAATTTACTAAAAGAAGGTAGGAGTACAATTTAAAGCAATATAAAATACTGTAATGTAAGATACATTTAATAAACACAAGAGACAAAGATTGATACTCTCAGCATCATCAGTGGTATTTATTTCTACAAACACCAAACATTTCAAACATCAAGATATATGAAGTACACTTTTCAATTGCAAAAAAATAAACACACTGCGTTATACTCCCTGCTCAATTTTATCTCTCACTCACTCACTCACTCACTCTCAAGTATTATTGATGGAATATTAATTAAGTATTTAGGGGGGAAATGTTCTTTATATAGCACCTTGCAAACAAACGTTGAGAGCTTTGACAACCAAGCACAGGGACAAAAATAAGAAAGTCACAAAAACAAGCAAATACCAAAAAAATAGGCAAATCAGGAAACTTAATACAGCAAAATCACTCACTCAACAATCTAGCCAAGACCAAGGGCACAAAACAATTGGAAACAGAGAAGAAAGTGTGACAGTATTAAAAAGCAGTCAAAGAAAAATTATGAAAACAATAAATAGAAAGAAAAAATGAACAGAAAGAAAGAAAAACATCAATAAAAAAGAATAAAAGAGATCAAATTAAGAAAATAAAGCAATAAAAAGAAATCAAACTTCGAGACATTAGGATAAAATAAACAGTGGACAGCAGCATTGGTAATGAAAGGGGGCTGGAATAAAACCATCCATGAAATTCACAACAAAAGTTCAAGAAGGGCAACAGATGTATTTGTTAAAATAAGAATTCTGTCAGATTTAGGAATGAAATGGGATAAAAAAGTTATACAACCCTTGAAAAGACCATTGTTGGGTCTGGGTGGTCTGTTGAATTAAAACCAAGATAATCAAATGATGTAAAACTATTATGTCAAATTTGAGTACATTGTACAAGCCCTCTCCTCTGCCTGCCTGATGGAAGTGAGTGAAGTTAGGGGGGGTGGCTTCAAGGGGACAGCAATATTTTGGGGTAAATCTTGGCATTGTGGTTATGGAAATAAGAAGTCCAAGTCATCATAAGGTATAGAGTCATGGCATGAAAAAGGTTCTTACTACAACACCACTGTCTTGTCTTGCATTGCTTGCCTGTTTAGTTTTGTTTATATTCCAGTTCATTATGGTTAATCAAAAGCATGGTCCAGAGTCCAGAAACAGGAAGGCAGAACATGGAAAAGAACCCTGGACAATCTCTCTGTTAGCCAGCAGTCCTTACCACTTCACCACTAGAATCCCTCATCCAGTTCGACTGTTTAGGTTTATTTAGTTTCCAAGTCATTATGGTGATTCAAACTCGTGGTCCAGATATGCAGAACATTCGAGCTGCACA